AAAAAAAAAATACTTTTGTAAGAATTTATTAAATATTAAAATTAACTTTTATTAAAAGCTAAAGTTAATTTTAAGAGTAAAAAGTAATACTAAACGCAGTCCTCGAAAGCAGGGAAAAAGATGTCCAAAAAGCATCGTAGTTAGTGAGAAACCGGCAAATCGCAAAAGGTCCAAAAGAGGGAAAAAAAAAATGCCCCTTCTACGCTCGTCTCACCTTCTTCACTCACACTTCCCAACGGCTCCAACGACCAACCGCTATTTCCCGCCACCGGGCCCAACGACCAACCGCCTTTCTCTTCCATCCCCGCAACGACGTCGTTTATTCACCTCCACAGCCCAAAATCCCTTCCTCTCTCTCCCATTCCACGCCAAGCCTCTTCTTCGCTGCTTCTCCGCCTCTTCCATGTCCGCTTCAACGGCGTCTCCTTCGACCTCTCAGGTTTCTCTCTCTCTTCATTATCTGTGCTCAAAATTGTTCCAATGTCGGTTCTCAGCTTCGAGATTTGTAGAAATTGATTCACTTTTTTTTTGGGATATCTTTTGATCGATATGTGAGAATTGACCAACTTTGTTTGTGATTCATGGTGATCGATTGCGATTTACAGGATTGTAGTTTGTTGTATTCGAGGGCGTATTGGGTGAGTGAATCGATCATCGCTTGGAATGTGGATGTTGGAAATGGTTCTTGTTTCCTATTTGCTAGCAAAACCGCTGATTTGTCACTTACGGAGAACGATGGTGTTCAAGGTTTGGACTACTCTGCTAGGGATTTTTATTTTTGGGGTTAAATTATGGTGATATTTTCTACTAAATAACTATTTGTACTTAATTCACCTGAAGTTTTCGTTATTTGTAAGTTAGATTCTAAACTCTTAGGGTTGTCTTTTTGAGTGAAAAATTCAAAAAAAGACAACTCGAATTACAACTTTATTCGAGTTTATGTTCTTTTAAATTTGAATTTGAGTTTAAACTCGAGTTCAAACTCGAGTTTGAGACTTTTAAAACTCGAGTTCAAGTTTCTCTTTCACAAAAAAAGACAACTCGAATTACAACTTTATTCGAGTTTATGTTCTTTTAAATTTGAATTTGAGTTTAAACTCGAGTTCAAACTCGAGTTTGAGACTTTTAAAACTCGAGTTCAAGTTTCTCTTTCAACTCGAGTTCAGAAACTCGAACTCAAATTAATGAACAATGTTTTTTCTATTCTTAAAAATACTATAACTTTTTCATTTTAATTCTGATTGAGATGATTTTTTTTTCTATGCGTTGACAATGAAAAGACGAATAAAACCCCACCCATATACCCTATTAAAATTTTCTATCAGTATTGAGTTTTTATTAAAATACTATCTAAATACAAATTCAAGTTTTGACTCACTCAAACACATACTCAAAAAGATTTTTATCTCAAACCATAACTCAAATATACACAACCAAACACAAACTCAAATTATAACTTCAATTCAAATTATAACTCAAATTCAACTCAAGAATTATACTCAAGTTAAACTTCAAAAGAACAAGCCCTTAGTTTTAGCATTTAAAATCTTAGGGTTTGTTCTTTTGAGTGAAAAATTCAAAAAAATGCAACTCGAGTTACAACTTTATTCGAGTTCATGTTCTTTTAAGTTTAAACTCGAGTTTAAACTCGAGTTTAGGACTAAAACTCGAGTTCAAGTTTCACCTTCAACTCGAGTTCAGAAATCCGAACTCAAATTAATGAACAGTGTTTTTTCTATTCTTAAAAATGCTATAACTTTTTCGTTTTAATTCTGATTGAGATGTTTTTTTTTTCTATGCGTTGACAACGAAAAGACGAATAAAACCCGACCCATATACCCTATTAAAATTTTTCATCAGCATTGAGTTTTTATTAAAATACTATCTGAATACAAATTCAAGTTTTGACTTACTCAAACACAAACTCAAAAAGATTCTTATCTCAAACCATAACTCAAATGTACACAATCAAATACAAACTTAAGTTACAAGTTCAACTCAAGTTATAACTCAAATTCAACTCAAGAATTATACTCAAATTAAACTCCAAAAGAACAAACCCTTAAATTTGACGATCCTTGGTATTACAGTCAAATCGTCAATAGACAACAATTAATTAGGGTCTAAAATGCAAAAATTACAGCCTTGAAGGTCTAAGTTTCCAACTAACAAGAAGTTTAGGTGCCTTTTGTGTAAAAATATTGGGGCATTCCGTCCACTCATTGATGCAGACCAACTATTGAACCACAATTGTCACAAGTTTTCAAACTTAGGGTCCTATTTAGCAAATTTAATAGTTTGGGATCCAAGTTTTCAAGCACTGATAAGTTCAGGGTGTACCAGTGGAAAAAAAATCCTAACAAAAAAAATCTAGAGGAGTTGAATGTTAAGTTTGAAGAAGATGGCGACGGGCTTCGCAAACAATAAATAAATAAATAAAGGTTTTGAACTCTTGGGTATCATGTTATGTTTAATTCTTTGTGATCCAAATTCAGTAAATTGAGGTGTAAATGCTTTTGAATTCCTTAACAGGGCAGGATTTGAAAGTTAAGCTTGAAGAAGATGGCTACAATCTTCCTGAAAATGTAACAAAATTACATTAACAGTTGGATGATTGATAGTTTTCTTTGAGTTATGTTGATGGTTGCTGGATTTGGAGTTTCCTTGTATGTGACAGGCCTTTTTTCTTCCCCCTCTAAATTAATGTTTCTAGGTGATTGCAAAGTTCCCTCACATTCACAACTACAGAGCTTATAGAGTACCTCCTCATTTAGATGTCAAACAACTCCTCAAGTGCCAATTGGCAGTTGCTGCTTTTGATTGTAAGCTTGCTTTTACTGTTATACTGTGTACAATTTTTTTTTTTTCATTAATCATTTTATGGTGAATAATGGGCTATTTAGGCCTATTTCGACTGATAGAAAATGCAAACGAAGCATTAACATCAGGGCTTTCAATGTGATTTTCTCTTCGTACCTATCATTTTTTGGTATGTATTTACTTCTTTGTGTGACGCAGCTGATGGAAAATGCAGCAATGCTACTGGTTTGCAGTTACCTGGAGTCCTGGATGAGTTGTTCTCATATAGTGGTCCTCTTGGTGCAGTTTATTCAAGTGAAGCTATATCGCTTTTCCTCTGGGCGCCCACTGCGCAAGTATGTCAAATCTTCAGACATTTCTGATGAAAATTGAGATATTTAGGAAAGTAAGAATCTAAGGGAAATAGAAACAAAAATCTGAGAAAAAATTTTGGGAGGAGATTTCCAAAAATGCTTTCTTTATTAACTAATGAATCTGTGTGAAGTATTTCTCAAATACTCTGAAACTAATCAATCTCTACATCTAACTGCCAATTTAACATTACACGTGCACAGCTAATCAAATCTCCTAACTAATTTTCTGTTAAGCTAACTTTTCTAACAATTTCTTCTATGTACTTGTACTTGTCTTTTCTCTCTCTTTCTTAATTAATCAGTCAGTCTATTAAACGTTCAGTTCTAGCACAATTAATTTTGCATTAAAACAGGCGGTACAAGCTTTGATTTATAAGGACCCTTCTGGTGAAAGTTCTCTAGAAATTCTCCAGCTTGAAGAGACTAATGGTGTTTGGAGTAAAAAAGGTCCAAAAAGTTGGGATGGTTGCTATTATATATATGAAGTATCCGTCTACCATCCTAGTGCTTTGAAAATTGTCAAATGCTATGCAAACGATCCATATGCCAGAGGGTAATGCTGGTTGACTAACAGTTTCCAAAAATAGCTAAGTTGTTTCTGTAATCTGAATTTATAACATTACTCTTATCACTTTACCGTCTTTCTCAGACATAAGTATATATGTGTTTCTGTAATGCTGGTTGACTCCTATAGCTAATGCTCATAAAAGTTATTTCCTTGTTATGGCAGGCTCTCAGCCGATGGGGGCAGGACATTGTTTGTCGATATTGCTTCTGATATTCTAAAACCTGAAGGATGGGATAAATTGGCATATGAAAAACCTAATTTACTTTCTTTCTCAGACATAAGTATATATGAGTTGCATGTGAGGGATTTCAGGTAATTAATCGTGCTTTCACTATGCTAGAAATAGATGAAAAAATCTGAAGCCTTGCAGATCAATAGAGTAATGTATTTGGACTAGAACTCTGCAACACAAGTGCTTTTGTAAATAATTCAAGAGTTTGATTTGAAGCCCTCTTGACTTCCCTTTTCATTTATTTGGTTCGTTTTGCTACATAAGAATCCTGATGGGTGGGGCTGGTATGATACCAAAATCATAGGAGATAAATAATACAGCAAAAAAAAAAAGTCTTAAACTTCCACTTAAAACTATTTGAGTTCTGCATGTTCGTCTTTATTTTCTCATATTTCTTCGTGGCTTCTGCAGTGCCACTGACCTGACAGTAAATGATGAATTTCGAGGTGGTTATTTGGCCTTCACTTTACAGGTATTTCTTTTGTCCTGATTATTTCAAACGCTGTTCTTGAGAGGGCGAACATTTCTCTACCTTTTTATATTATAACAAATATTCTACTTAGGACTTTCTTTTCTTGATATGCTTAGTGCGTGTGATATTTCATGGAAGCTTGAACTACATATTGGACTATTTTCTATGTATTTGTTTTTGGTGACATGACATGGTATTAGGGCTTGGTTATTAGAGTGGTTAGTTTTTTGCTCTTAACAGTATATATCATCTTTCTTTTGAAAAAAAAAAAAAAGGTTCTTAGCACGCTTTGATATGCATAAATGCTTCTTCTTATGCGTGAGATCAGATGTGAGGCTTATACATGTATAAAGAGAAAACTGAAGGGAGATCAAAATACCTATACTTTGGCCATCAGATTCTATGTTAGTTTAAGTATAGGTTGTTGATAAGACTAAGCCGTTGCTTAGGCAGGTTTTCGTTAGGAAGGGCAGGAGAGAATAAAGGGGTGTAGGCATGTATTAGTTGTTGTTAGCAGTTAGAATTGTTAGTTTGTTAGCAGTTAGAAAATATAGTGTGAATAAGGGATGGGTCGGTGGAGGAGAGGGAATAAATAGAAACAAAGAGCAAGTGTCAGGGGCAGAAAAGAACTAGAGTCTTGTTGAGGAAGTCTTGGCTTAGGCTAAGCGGGGGAGGTTTCGCAGTACCTCGAAGGACTGCTCTGTAATTCATTTTGGTGATTCAATAAAGATCATACTTTCATTCTTCTTGATTCATTTCTATTTGAAGAAATTACTCTGTTTTTATCATTTTGGTATTAGAGCAATAATTCTGGGCAATAATGGCGGGTAGGAAAACAGATGAACGGTTTGAATCTGTGGAGAAGGAGATTAAGGAAGTTAGGGCTTCGATGGAAAGAGGAATCGGTGAGATGGAGAAAGGGATCGGGGAGGTTAGGGCGGAATTAACTCAGAATAGGGCGGAATTAACTCAGAATCTTACAGAGCTCCGTCAACTAATGGAAGAACATATGAAGTTGTTTGCGGCGCCGGTGAAAGTGCCTGAGAAGACAGGGGCTTCGACGTCTGTGGTGGAGGAAGATCGCGAGGTATTTCCGACCGGGGTCGCATATGGCGGAAATCGCTGGGTTGCGCGTGCGGAACGAGGAACGAGTGACGGACCCTAGGCTTTTGCAGAATGTGTCGTTACCGGTGCGAACTTCTGGTTTGCGTGCGCGGGGAGATCGACCGGCGAACCCCAAGGTTTCGCGAAATTTTTGTCGCGAGGGAGGGAGGAAGAGCGCGACGCTCGAAGAGAGGTTCTGATGGGTGCCCAAGGGGAAAACGTGACTGGACGTTGAGGAGAGGGGCGTGGCGTTTTTGTGGAGTCTGATAATCATGGATTTTGCGATCGGCGTTGTGGTTTGGGTGTGGATGGTTATTGAGGAGTACGGTTCAAGGAGGGTTGGGATAGCAGAGGTGTACTTGAGGAGTTGCCGGAGAATAAGGAGTGGGCTGCTTATCGCTGGCGGCAGGTGGAGTGTCCAACTTTTAGCGGCGATGATCCCGATGGTTGGGTGTTTCGAATGGAGCAGTTCTTTTCCATCAATCGCTGCTTGGAAAGGGAAAAACTGATCACTGCCGGCATAGCTTTAGAGGGAGACGCCTTATCTTGGTTCCAATGGCAGAATGGTCGCCGACCTTTTCACGGCTGGACAGACTTCAAGTTGTCACTATTACAGCGTTTCCGTTCTTAGCAGGCAGGAAATTTTTGTGAGAAGTTTTTGGCGATCCGACAAGATGGAACAGTGGCGGAATATCGTAGGCAGTTTGAGGTTTCCGCAGCTCCGCTTCAAGATTTCCGGAAGAAATTTTGGAAGGAATCTTCGTAAATGGTTTAAAGCCGGAGGTTCGGGGAATTACGGCTCTTGAAACCGGTTGGTTTAGGCGAAATTATGGAGATAGCTTAGAGGATCGAAGAGAAGAATGAGTTGCTTCGTCGAGAGGTCTCGGAAACAAGAATGTCAAGACCACAATTTTCTAGTCGTCCAAGGGCTGAATTCACTACATTTCCTGCTAGGACATTGTCGGGAGTCGAGCGTCCACCGCGAGCTCCAGCCACTCTGGATAAAACAGTAACTCAAAAGCGAGACTTTCGTTTTCGCAAGTTGTCGGACTCCGAGTTACAAGAGAAGAAGGACAAAGGGTTGTGTTTTAGGTGCGATGAGAAGTTCACTTTGGGGCATCGTTGTAAGAGGAAGGAGCTCCGAATCATGTTGGTTAGCGATGATGACGCAACTAAGTGTGAAGAGGAAGATCCTGACATGTCTAAGATCGTTTGGGAGGACGGGCAGCTTGAGCTTATTGAGTTGTCCTTGAATTCCGTGGTTGGGCTTTCGACACCAAAGACTATGAAGCTTCATGGCTTGATTGCTCAAAATGAGGTAATTGTTCTAATTGATTCCGGAGCAACTCACAACTTCATTTCTTTGAGTCTTGTTGAGAGATTGTCTATACCAATTTTTTCCACTGCCGGGTTTGGAGTACAAGTGGGCACGGGAGAATCGGTTAAGGGAAAGGGCCTTTGTCGTGAGGTGGCATTGAGTTTACCTCAATTAACAATTGTGGAAAACTTCTTGCCATTGGAGTTGGGAGGAGTGGATGCGATTCTAGGCATGCAATGGTTGGAAACTTTGGGGGGAATGCATGTGAATTGGAAGTCCCAATTGATGAAGTTCAAGATTCGGGGGGAGGCGGTTACGTTGCGAGGCAATATGAGTCTCCCTACCACTATGGTTTCTCTGAAAGCAATGTTCTGGACTATAAAGCATGACAGACAAGGAATTTACTTGGAATTACAAGCCTTGGATGTGAACAAGGAACCAGACCAGCCACTTCCTGCTCAAATCAGTGTCTTATTTCAACATCATCCAAGGGTTTTGAATATGCTGGATGGACTACCCCCTCAACGTTTGCGTGACCATCGCATTATTCTTCAACCGGGAACCGCTCCTATTAGTGTTAGGCCCTACAAGTATCATCATTTTCAAAAAAATGAGATTGAAAAGTTGGTGCGTGAGATGCTAGCGGCTGGGATCATTCAACCAAGCAATAGCCGTTTTCTAGCCCTGTGCTTTTGGTTAAGAAAAAAGATGGCAGTTGGCGCTTTTGCGTTGATTATTGCTCTCTCAACAAGGCTACAGTCCCGGATAAGTTTCCCATACCGGTGATCGAAGAGCTATTGGATGAATTGTTTGGGGCTACTATTTTTACCAAATTGGATTTGAAATCGGGTTATCACCAAATCCGGATGTGCGCGGAGGACATTCCAAAGACTGCTTTTTGCACTCATGAAGGCCATTACGAATTTTTGGTTATGCCTTTCGGGCTAACCAATGCTCCAGCCACATTCCAATCTCTGATGAATGAGGTATTAAAACTTTTTTTGTGAAAATTTGTGCTAGTATTTTTTGATGACATCCTGATATACAGTAAATCCTTGGAAGAACATGTTGGCCACTTGGATTTGGTTTTGATCGCTTTGGAAGACAACCAATTATATGTTAATAAAAAAAAGTGCACTTTCGCTAAGAGTCAGTTGGAGTATATGAGTCACATTGTTTCTCGGGATGGGGTTTCGGCTGACTCCAACAAGATTCAAGCAATGCTGGATTGGTCTACTCCACATTCTATTAAGGAGTTACGCGGGTTCCTGGGTTTGACCGGTTATTACCGGCGTTTTGTTACGGGGTATGGTCATCTTGCTTGGCCATTGACACAACAGTTAAAGAGGACATTCCAAAGACCGCTTTCTGCACTCATGAAGGCCATTACGAATTTTTGGTTATGCCTTTCGGGCTAACCAATGCTCCAGCCACATTCCAATCTCTGATGAATGAGGTATTAAAACTTTTTTTGCGAAAATTTGTGCTAGTCTTTTTTGATGACATCCTGATATACAGTAAATCCTTGGAAGAACATGTTGGCCACTTGGATTTGGTTTTGACCGCTTTGGAAGATAACCAATTATATGTTAATAAAAAAAAGTGCACTTTCGCTAAGAGTCAGTTGGAGTATATGGGTCACATTGTTTCTCGGGATGGGGTTTCGGCTGACTCCAACAAGATTCAAGCAATGCTGGATTGGTCTACTCCACATTCTATTAAGGAGTTACGCGGGTTCCTGAGTTTGACCGGTTATTACCGGCGTTTTGTTACGGGATATGGTCATCTTGCTTGGCCATTGACACAACAATTAAAGAAAGACAGTTTTAATTGGACATATGAGGCTGAATCTGCTTTTCAGATGTTGAAACAGGCCATGACTACAGTTCCTGTATTCGCATTGCCGGATTTTTCTTAACCGTTGTTGAATCCAATGCTTCTGGATTTGGTATTGGCACTGGTTTAATGCAACAATAGCGACCTATAGCTTATTTTAGCCAGGTGTTGTCTTCTAGGGCTAGGGCTAAGTCGGTTTATGAGCGCGAGTTGATGGCCGTGGTCCTTGCTATTAAGAAATGGCGGCATTATCTTCTTGGGCGGCATTTCATTGTCCGCACTGATAAGAAGAGCCTTAAGTTTTTATTAGAACAACGGCTGGTTAGTGAGGAGCACCAGAAATGGTTGTGCAAACTGTTGGGTTATGATTTTGAAATTCAATACAAGCCCGGTTCTGAGAATTGCGTGGCTAATGCTTTATCAAGGCGGTTTGCTGGTTTGGAGTTGATGCATCTGTCAACTTCAGCGATTTACGATGGGGCTGAAATTTGCCAACAAATTCTCAGTGACCCGAAGTTAGCTGTGATTCGGATTGCTTTGTTGAACAATCCGACGACGGTGAAGGGGTTTTCTTTGTGCAATGACATGTTACTTTACAGGAATTGTTTGGTCATTTCCCGGCAATCACCTCTCATACCTGGACTGTTGGAGGAGTTCCACGGCAGCAAAGTTGATGGTCATTCCGGAGTGCTTAAAACGTTTAAGCAGTTGTCTTCCGAGTTCTTTTGGTATGGTATGAAACAGGGTGTAGTTTCTTTTGTTGCAGCTTGTCAGGGGTTATTGCAGCCCTTGCCACTTCCACAACAGGTGTGGGAAGATATTTCTATAAACTTTGTGGAGGGTCTTCCTGAGTCAGCTGGTCATGATTTTATCTTAGTGGTCGTAGACCGATTGAGTAAGTATGCTCATTTTTTGGGTCTTTGCCATCCCTATACGGCTAAGTCTGTGGCTGCCCTCTTTGTTAAAGAGGTGGTTTGGCTTCATGGTTTTCCGACCACTATTGTATCCGATCGTGATAAAGTCTTTCTCAGCCATTTTTGGAAAGAACTCTTTAGGTTGCAAGGTACTTCCTTACATCACAGCACGGCCTACCATCCTCAGTCCGATGGCCAAACATAGGTGGTCAATTGCTACTTAAAAGCTTATTTACGTTGTTTTGTCTCCGACAAACCTAACTAATGGTGCTCTCATCTTGCTTGGGCCGAATATTGGTATAACACCAGCTTCCATGTCTCTGCAGGCATGACACCTTTTAAGGCTTTATATGGTCGAGATCGTCCCAAGCTACTCCGTTTTGAATTGGGGTCTACAGCTAATTCTTTGCTGGAACAGCAACTGCAGTTGTGAGACGTAATTCTGGATGAGTTACACGCACATTTGCTAAGGCCCAACAATCCATGAAAATGCAAGCTGATCTCAAGCGTCGGGATGTGTCTTTTGAGGTGGGGGATTTAGTGTTCTTGAAACTCCGGCCGTATCGCCATCGTTCTTTGGCAAAGTTTGTCAAAGAAAAGTTATCTCCCCAGTTTTATGGCCCTTATCAGGTTCTCGCGCATGTTGGGCCAGTGGCATATCGGTTACACCTTCCTGCATCCGCGAAGATACATCCGGTTTTTCATGTCTCACAACTCAAGAAAGCTGTTGGCCTCTCGGTCCCTGCACATGATGTTCCTCCCATATTAACTGTTGATATGGAATTACGGGTGGAACCGGAACGCTTGGTGGCTACTCGTTGTTCTCCAGTGACTGGCCAATTGGAAGTCTTACTGTAGTGGCGTCATTTACCTGATTATGAATCTTCTTGAGAACTCTTTGATATCATCCAGCAGCAATTTCCCGATTTTCACCTCGAGGACAAGGTGACGCTTTTGGGGGGCGGAGTAGTTGATAAGACTAAGTCGTTGCTTAGGCAGGTTTTCGTTAAGAAGGGCAGGAGAGAATAAAGGGGTGTAGGCATGTATTAGTTGTTGTTAGTAGTTAGAATTGTTAGTTTGTTAGCAATTAGAAAATATAGAGTGTGAATAAGGGATGGGGTCGGTGGGGAGAGGGAATAAATAGAAACAGAGAGTAAGTGTCAGGGGCAGAAAAGAACTAGAGTCTTGTTGAGGAAGTCTTGGCTTAGGCTAAGCGGGGGAGGTTTCGCAGTACCTCGAAGGACTGCTCTGTAATTCATTTTGGTGATTCAATAAAGATCATACTTTCATTCTTCTTGATTCATTTTTGTTTGAAGAAATTACTCTGTTTTTATCAGCTGCCCTAAAGGCTTAAGTTGATGGAGAACAATACTAATGATGTGCGTCATGCTTTAAACATGCTAAGGAATTGCTAACATAAATGATCATTTGATCAATTGAAAGTGGTATTTGCAAAAACTCTCAATCAAAGATTCTGCTACAGGGGTCTCAATATGTCAGGTTTTCGACAAAAGTACTGCCCTAAAGATAAGAAGAGTGAAAAACTTGATGGGGCTGTAATTAATGCATGTTTTATTCCTATTAAATCTTAATCTATATATATTAGATGTTTTAAAATATGCTTCGAAGATCTATTATCTAAAAGTGAACCTATGTTGCTTGAAGGACTCGGCAGGTGTATGCCATCTAAAGAAATTATCAGATGCTGGTATTACTCATGTCCATTTACTTCCGACCTACCAGTTTGGCGGTGTTGTTGATGAGAAGGATAAGTGGAAGTCTGTTGGTAAGCGTATTTCTTACTTAGCCTGGCCTGATTTCGTTGACTTGCTATAATCTTTTTCAAATCTTTTCATCTGTTAGGTCTCCTATTACGTTAGTCTATGCTAGGAAGAGGGGCCCGTAGGGGGAAATCGCAGGAAACAGGGGAGGGAAGTGGAAATATGGAAAAGGGGTGCTGATGTGTCAACTTAGTTACCAACTTGTTAGCCGGGAGGTATTTAGGCAGTAGAGGAGGGGAGAGAGAGGTGTCTGAGAATTGAGTCATTTCTGTTAGTAGACCATTGGAGGCTGGGGAACCTCGAATTCCCCACTTGTTCTTTTTTCCTTCCTATTTCCTTCTTGTTTCTTCCTTGAGAATGGAATCCATCTCTCAGGGAACTTGTTAGTGAGATCAATAAAAGGAACTTGACCCATTTTCAAGCAATTTGCTCTTGTTACTCTACTGTGGGATTACCCAAATTGTGCAGGAAGCTAACATTTTGGTATCAGAGCGGTAGATCCATGACAGATGCTTCCGGCGAACAGCCTCCGGCGGAGGAGATGTCTCGGCTCGAACAGAGATTGGATACGTTTTACGAGGCGCTGCAGATTGTGGAAGCTATGACGGAGCCTCTCCCTAAACTCCAAGAAGACATGGCCGATATTAGCGTCCAGATGGGAGAGGTACAAGGATCGGTGCGACGGCTGGAGAATCTTCTGCTCTGGCAGGCGAACTTTCTCTAGCGAAACCCACACCCTCCGCCACGGTTCAACGCTGGCCAGCAGCGATTCCCTGACCTTTGTTGGCAGGCCCCGAACGTTCGGCCAGTGTCGCCGCCTCCGTCTCCGCGCAACGAAGAACCCCGGTGATACGAGCGGGAATACCGGCAGGAGATGCCACCGCTTCCGAGAGGACGAGTAGAACAACGGGGAAGGAGGCTAGAGATGCCATTATTCCAGGGCGATGACCCTTAAGGATGGTTGTTTAGCACCGACCGGTACTTTGCTGTGAACGACGTGGAGGAGGAAGAGAAGGTGGTGGTGGCTTTGGTGTGCATGGAGGGGAGACCTTTGGGATGGTTCTAGTGGGCAGACGCGCAAGAACCGTTTAGATCTTGGCGTGAACTTTGCGCGACTGTGCTGCGTCGTTTCGGTCGTGCCAGGGAAGTCGACCTGGTGGAGCAACTGATGGCTCTCAGGCAGTGGATGTCGGTGGCGGACTATTAGGACAAGTTTGAATCAACGGCGGCGCAGATGCAGGGAGTCTTTGAAGCCATATTCAAAGGTGCTTTCCTTCATGGGCTCAGGGAGGATATTCGGGCTGCACTGAAGATGCACCGGCCCAATGGCTTGCATGAGATGATGGACCTGGCCCAGCAGGTGGAGTTGGAGTCATGCAATGAGGCTGCGGATCGGGTCCGAAGGAACAGAGTGGGCCGTGGGCCCAGATCTGAGTATTTGGGGCGCTTAGGGGGAGCTTCTGAAGGCCTAAACTCCTTCTCACCCGAGGGCCCCCTTCGATCCAAACTTCAGCATGAGGCGGCGTTAGCGCAGGGAGCTCAGTTGGGTAGTGGTCTAGGGACGAATTCCCTTTCCGGCGAGGCGGCGGCGTACCGGTGGCTCATTGAGGAGGAGATCCAGCATCGGAGGGCCCGGGGGCTCTTCTTCAAATGCGACAAGAAGTTCAGCCCGGGACACTGATGCAAGAACTGGCAGTTACAGGTTCTCATTCTGGCGGATGAAGGAGACGAATCAGGGGAGGATAGTAAGGATGGCCAGGAGCCTCTGGCGGTGGAGGACAAAGGGAAGGAGGTCTCGAACGCAAGGATGGATCTGTCCTTAAACTCGATGCGGGGGGTGTCCGCCTCCAACACTATGAAACTTAGGGGAAGGATCGGTGGCCGGGAGGTCGTGGTGCTGGTGGACAACGGCGCTACTCACAGCTTCATCTCGGAAAAGGTGCTAAGCGTGCTGCACTTGCCAATGGACTCCACGGTAAGTCACAATATTTTGGTAGGCAATGGGTTGAGCGTCAAGTAGTCGGGTATTTGTCAGGAAGTTAGTGTCTAGATCTAAGGTCACTTATTGGTGGAGGATTTCTTTTCCTTCCAGTTGGGCGGGGCTGATTTGGTCTTAAGGGTGTCATGGCTCAGCACCCTTGGTGAGGTATGGGCAGATTGGTCTAAGTTCCTAATGAAATTCCGAGCAGGGCCAACTTGGGTGGTTTGGCGAGGCGACCCAAGTTTATGTTATGCACCGGTCAAGATGAGCTCCTTAGTCAGGACACTGTCGCCGGCTGGAGCAGGGGTGTTGGTTGAAGTATGTGAACTCTCAATGCAACGGCTGGAAAAGGAGAACAGAGTAGTACCGGAGGAGGTGCGGACGGTGGTGGACAGTTTCAAAGAGGTGTTTGATAACCCCATGGGGCTGCCACCGCTCCGGGGATGCGATCACAGGATCATTCTGAAGGAGGGCACCGATCCGCCCAATGTTCGGCCTTACCGATTTCCGCAAATTCAGAAGGGAGAGATAGAACGGTTGGTGACAGATATGTTGGCTTCCGGTATCATACGACCAAGCAGTAGTAGCCTATACTCCAGTCCGGTCCTCTTTGTCAAGAAGAAAGACATAAGTTAGCGTTTCTGTGTAGACTATCGCGCACTGAACCAAGTAACGATCCCTGACAAGTTTCCGATTCCAATGATCGACGAATTGCTTGATGAACTCCATGGGGCAGTGGTATTTTCAAAATTGGACTTGCGAGCAAGGTACCAACAAATCAGGGCGCATGAGGCCGACATTGAGAAGACGGCTTTTCGAATGCATGAGGGCTGCTATGAGTTTCTCGTCATGCCTTTCGGCTTGATGAATGCTCCGGCCACTTTCCAAGCCCTCATGAATCGAATCTTCTGTCAATATCTTCGGAAGTTTGTCCTTGTATTCTTCGACGACATTTTTGTGTACAGCCGCTCATGGGAGGAGCACCGCCAACACCTCTCCATGGTCCTTCAAGTTTTGCAGCGCGAACGGTTATTTGCCAATAAAAAAAATGCTGTTTCAGCCAACCACAATTAGAATACTTGGGCCACATCATTTCAACTCGTGGAGTGGCTGCCGACCCTTCCAAAATTCAGGCAATTACCTCATGGCCCCTATTGAGCAACGCCCGGGAGGTGCGAGGATTCTTAGGGCTCACCGGTTATTACAGGCAGTTTGTCAAGGGCTATGGGACGATCGCAAGGCCACTAACAGAGCTGCTTAAGAAGAAGGATTTGGATGGACGGAGGAAGCATGCTGAGCATTTGACGAGCTTAAGTTGGCCATGACTCGAATTCCGGTTCTGGCCATGCCAGACTTCTCGAAACAGTTCGTTGTCGAGACTGATGCTTCGAGAAGTGGGTTGGGAGCGGTGTTGATGCAAGAGGACAGGCCCATCGCTTTTTTCAGTAAAGATCTCGCCCGTCCTTCCCGATTGAAGTCTGTGTTTGAGCGGGAACTCATGGGTGTGGTTCTAGCGGTCCAGAAATGGCGACATTATCTTTTGGGTCGTCACTTTGTGGTTCGCACTGACCAACAAAGCTTGCGGTTCTTGATGAATCAACGCCAACTTCCTCCTGAGCAGCTTCGCTAGGTGTATAAATTGTTGGGTTACGATTTTGAGGTGCAGTACAAGTTGGGGCCTCCAACTGCATCGCCGATGCACTGTACCACCCGGGGGACTGGGCCGAGGTTTCCCTCGCTGCTTTTACAATACCACACACATGGGATTTTGCTGCCATCCAGTTGGAGCAACGTACAGAACCGGTTTGGGTTGCCATCATATCAAAACTTGAAAAAGGGGAGGTTGTGGAGGGGAATTTGCTAAAGAACGGACTGCTGTTTTACAAAGATAGGCTGGTTTTGGTGGATAGCTCCCCTTGGATAGCTTGGCTAGTCCACGAGTTCCATGACTCGGTCATTGGTGGGCATTCGGGCTTTGTCCGTACCTACAAACGGCTGTCCGCGGTAGTTTTTTGGCGAGGAATGAAGCGCTATATCCGGGAGTATGTGGCTAATTGTGAGATATGCTAGAGAAATAAGACAGAGGCACTGTCTCCCGGCCTCTTGCAGCCCCTTCCTATTCCCACCCAAGTTTGGGACGACGTTTTCATGGATTTTGTTGGGGGTCTTCCCAAGTCCGGGGGGTTTGACACCATTCTAGTAGTGGTGGATCGCTTGTCAAAGTACGCCCATTTTGGTCCCTTGGCCCAGCCATTTTTAGCCAAGCAGGTGGCGGCTTTATTCATTTCAGACATTGTCAAGCTGCACGGAATTTTGCGGTCCATTGTGAGTGATCGGGACACCGTGTTCATGAGCGGGTTTTGGCGAGAGCTGTTCAAGTTACAGGGCACTAAGCTGCACACGAGTTCGGCCTACCACCCAGAATCCGATGGGCAAACGGAGGTAGCAAATCGTTGCTTAGAAACGTATTTGCGTTGTTTCATAGGTTATAAGCCTAGGCAGTGGTCAGCATTCCTTCCGTGGGAGGAATATTGGTTCAACACGACCTTTAATGCTTCCACCAGGTTCACCCCCTTCCGCATTGTGTATGGTCGTGATCCCCCGGCTCTCTACCGTTTCCAAGACTCTCCTGGCACAGTAGCAGCGGTGGAAGAGCAGATCACCTTGCGTAATGCCATGCTTGATCTGCTGAAATCCCACCTGTTATTGGCTCAGCATCGCATGAAGAAATTCGCCGATAGTCATCGGAGAGAGTTAAGCTTCGAGATAGGTGAGATGGTACTGCTCAAACTGCGGCCCTACCGGCTGAAATCTCTAGCTTGCCGTGTCAATGAGAAACTCAGCCCGCGCTTCTATGGGCCCTTCGAAGTGGTGGAACACATTGGACCAGTGGCGTATCGCTTGAGGCTGCCTGACAATACTCGCATACACCCGGTCTTCCACGTGTCTCAGTTGAAGCCCTTTAAGGGGGTTGCGGCTAAGGTCCAACCTCTCCCCGCTCCGTTGACGGAAGATCTGGAGCTCTGTGTCCTTCCAGCGGAAGTGTAGGCCTCTCGGGTGGTGTTGGTGGGGGGTCGCGAGGAACCAGAGGTGCTGATTAAGTGGCAGGGCCTGCCGGATTGGGAATCCACTTGGGAGCCCGTCGCTGCCATCCGTTTGCAGTTTCCCTCTTTCAACCTTGAGGACAGGTTGGGGGGTAGGGTCCTATTACGTTAGTCTATGCTAGGAAGAGGGGCCGTAGGGGGAAATCGCAGGAAACAGGGGAGGGAAGTGGAAATATGGAAAAAGGGTGCTGATGTGTCAAGTTAGTTACGAGTTTGTTAGCCGGGAGGTATTTAGACAGTAGAGGAGGGGAGAGAGAGGTGTCTGAGAATTGAGTCATTTCTGTTAGCAGACCATTGGAGGCTGGGGAACCTCAAATTCCCCACTTGTTCTTTTTTCCTTCCTATTTCCTTCTTGTTTCTTCCTTGAGAATGGAATCCATCTCTCGGAGAACTTGTTAGTGAGATCAATAAAAGGAACTTGACCCATTTTCAAGCAATTTGCTCTTGTTACTCTACTGCGGGATTGTGCAGGAACCTAACATCATCGCACTTCAAGATTCTAATGTCGTGTAAAATTTTTATTATTGAAGAGTTTATTGACTTTTTTGGTAGAAAGAAGGAATTTATTTACTTATTTTATGTTAGATTGAGGATGCTAGCCTTTAAATATAAAGAACTGCCGGGTCTCTTACTCTGTCTGCGTTTCTGTAGAAGAGCCATTCATAATGTCAATGACTGTTATGAGACTAAGGGCTCGAATAGTGTGCATATTTTAGAGTTTAACATAGTGTGTAAAAGTGTTGGTCACATATAAGTATAGAGCCTGCTATACATGACTTCGAACATGATCAGTGATTGATAATACTTCTTAAGTTTGGTTTTAACATTTTTAAATGCAGAATTCGGTCAGCTTTTTTTTTCTGTTTTTTTTTTTTGGCCGGTGGCGTCAATAAAATAAAATATGACTTGGGGCCATACACATTTGTGCAGACACCAAGATACTTGAGAAGTTTGCTCCGGATTCAGCTGAGCAACAATCGCTAATTACTGCAATCCAAGATGATGATGGTTATAACTGGGGGTATGCTCCTAACTTCTATTTGGATAACTTCTATTTGGATAACGTTATCAGGTTTAGATGCTTTGCAGATTCTAATATTTGCCAAATTCTTCTCTCTTATGAAGGTATAATCCTGTTCTCTGGGGAGTCCCAAAAGGAAGCTATGCATGTAACCCAAATGGTTCATCCCGTATTCTTGAGTTTAGAAGGATGGTTCAGGTCTGACTATTATGTTTTTGTTGCAGTGGCTGACCAAACTGTCTCCTGTTTATTATAACTCATGGAATGGGCAATCTTTCTTCTTACAAAAAACTAAAAAGAACTTTCATATTGATTTTGTAGGTAAATATTTGGTATGTCCACACGCTGAATTTATCTGGGGTTCCCTCCTTTGGTGTAGTTAAATACTTTTTTTAATAGATAAAATCTCTCTTTGTTCTTGCCCTTTCCTGTTTTCTGCTTTCAGAGTCCTCATGTTTCCCTCCTGTTATTTATCTTAATGGTGTATGCTGATAGATTTTTACTGATCAAACACAACAATATTTGGAGCAGGCACTTAACCATATTGGACTACGTGTTGTATTGGATGCTGTCTATAATCATTTACATGGAAGAGGGCCCTTCGATGAAAATTCAGTTCTTGATAAGGTTGTGATTTTTTATGAATGTTCTCTGTCCTGTTATGCTTGCCTAAAATGTTTAGTGAACTCGTGATTATAAGGTCCCAGCATATATATAATACATAGTCTGTTTTTGTTTAATTATTGCTACAAGATATACACATTTTCTGTTTTGATATGGGACTTCACTACAGATTGTTCCAGGTTACTATTTGAGAAGAAACACTGATGGTTTTATTGAGCAAAGTACATGTGTCAATAACACTGCCAGCGAGCATTTTATGGTTGAGCGTTTAATTATTGATGATCTTCTGCATTGGGTTGTCGATTACAAGGTGATGCCTTGCACTACCATATGCAATGTTATATTCCTTTTTTTCTTTTCCCCAAATTCTTTCTTACTTATTTAAGTAGTTCTTTTTTGTTTTTCAGTGATTACGCTTCCTTTTTTTTTTTTTCTCTGAATTATTTTTCCTTTACATATAGTGTAGAGTACACTGCGATTTATGCAAGGTTTTATGATTTTTATGCATCTTTGTACCCATGCCGCTTGATTTTAACAGGCGCTTTTGTCAGGTCGATGGGTTTCGGTTTGACCTTATGGGTCATTTAATGAAAAGAACAATGGTAAGAAATTGATATGAATTTAGCATGGTGCAAATGCGTAGCTGTAAAAGAGATAAATAAAGCGAACATTCTTCTCTTTAGATAAAAAGCAAAGATGCACTCTCCAGCCTAACGAAGGAAAGAGATGTCATTGATGGTTCAAGTGTTTATATGTATGTTTCACTCCCTAGATTCTCTTTTCTATCTAGTGATAATCCCTATTGTTATTGCTCTTGAAGTTTGCTCATAATTTTGTTTTCCAACTTTTTTGTTTGTAATACACTAGTCCATAAAAATTTTTTTTTTTCACCCTTCTCCCCCTTTTGAAGATATGGTGAAGGGTGGGACTTTGGTGAAGTTGCCAAGAATGGACGTGGGATAAATGCATCACAATTTAACCTTTATGGAACTGGAATTGGGAGGTACACTTTGTTCTTTTAATTTGTGTGTTAACGTTTGTTTCTGTTACTATGTACCAAACCTATTTTATACAAGAGTCAAACATGAGCTGGTTATCTTATGCCTGTCTTTGTTGGTATGAGAGGTTATTACCAAAATTTATTTGGCATGAAGGGTTAGTCATACCCTACTTGGTAAATTATATCAACACATATATTATAGGTGGAAAATAGCTTATTGAAATATGCCAATTTGATCTGAATTTAATCTCTTCATAAATGTTCTTTCGCCATTGCATCTTAGTGTCTCTCTAGCACTATATCAATCAAACTTGGCAAGTTTGTCTTGCTTGTCTAGTGCCTAAGTCCTTGTTTTGGCGTGACTTCTTCTGGATCAGGAAGTCACTCATCACCACATTATCTGTATTGACCACCAATCGTGACCTGCCTCTACGTTCTCAAGTAGTGTAATATTGATGTCATCTCCTTCTCTTGGACCACACCTTTCGGTCTCATTGAGCTTTCAGCTCTCATATGCTATTGGGTTACCTTATTATACTAGCATGCCATCTATGGCATAGTCTGACGCATCCGTGTGCACTTCAAATGGCTTACTGTGATCTAGCAGCTCATTCTATCTAGAAAGAGAATATGAATTTGATTCAGTTGTATCCATGCTACACTTTTTTTTTTCAATGAATCATATCCATTTTATATCTTCATAAAATAACAAAAGGGTACGAATAATTTTGGACGTGAATTTAGTTTCAATGATCGAATTCGGGATGCGACACTTGGTGGATCTCCATTTGGGCATCCACTTCAGCAAGGATTTATAACTGGTCTATTGTTGCAGGTATTTCCATCAATTTTATTTGGGTTATTTTATTATTTAGTCTAATTTCATATCTATGGAGAAATGTTTTGCAGAATCTGGCTGCATATTTCTTTATTTCTTGCAGATTATAAAACGGGACTTTTAGATTTTAATTTCCCTAATTGCCAGCACATTTAGTGGGAAAGAAATAACATATATGGTGGTTTGAATGAAGTTCATTACCATATTACGTATTATAAGGAAGTATTTCTTTGCAACATTCTATTCTTTTTGCTAAAAAAAATAGAAAAAAATATAATGTTGCAACATTCTAATTAATCAAAGCTTTTATTATTTGTCGAAGTTGTAGTGAAGTCCACTCCCAAAGTTTGAGTTAATAGGAAGGTTTTCTTTTTTCTATGCACAACTCTAAAGTACATTTCACTTATAGTTTTTACCTTATTCTTCTTTTGCAGCCTAATGGTCATGATCATGGCCCCCATGCTGAAGAAATGCTTGCATCGTCAAAGGATCACATCCAGGTTAAACATCTTGATGCATTTGTGTACTTTGGGCATGTTCTTTAAAAAAAGAAAAACCAGACAGGAAATCTTCGATTGTGAGCAATCCAAAATGTGATTTGGCTTCGAAATTCTCGATGAAATAACAATTAATTACTATTGAATTATGTACATTAATTAATTAATTAATTAGGAGATATCGCATATCTTTCCTAGTTTAGGGGGCAGTTCCTATTTTTTAGGAAAGATCCTAGGAATATCTTGAGGATAGTTTCTCTATCCTATTAGGGTTCCTAGTTTCCCGATTCTGTTAGCCACGGGACCTAGGTCTTTTGTAACCTATTTATACTCCGGTTTTGTACCAATTAAATTAAGAAAGGATTTATATTTTTCCTCAGAAACTTACATGGTATCAGAGCCCGGTTTAGGACTTTATCTCTGTTCGCCATGGCCAAGAATCCAGAAAACCTTCCTTCAACCCAAACCGTACCCTCTGCCTCTTCTAATAATGCTGATTTCAACCCTAATGCTTCCATTCAAATTACTACCGTACGATTGAATGGAAGGAATTTTCTAGAATGGGCCCAATCAGTAAAACTAGCCATAGATGGCCGAGGAAAACTAGGGTTTCTTACAGGGGAGGAACCAAAGCCGAATGATTCTGACCCTTCATTCCGAAAGTGGAGGTCTGAAAATTCACTCATCACTACATGGCTTCTCAATTCCATGGAGGAATCAATCCGGAAGCCATATCTGTTCATGTCAGCCCAAGAAGTATGGGAGGCCGTGCGTGAAACCTACTCGAACCTGGAAAATTTTTCACAAGCCTTTGAATTGAAGACTCGGCTGTGGAATTCCAAGCAGGGGTTAATGCAGGATTGGACGATGTTAAAGGGCGTGTTCTAGGCAGACGTCCTCTTCCTACAATCCGTGAAGTTTTTTCTGAACTTAGGCAGGAAGAAGGACGAAAGAGAGTCATGATTGGTTCATTCTTGCCACCAGCAGAGCCTAAAAATTCAGCCTTAGCAGTCCGTGGCAATGAGGGTGACCCAGACAAGAAAAAGAAGCCATGGTGTGACCACTGCAATCGGCACTGGCACACCAAAGATTCCTACTGGAAGCTTCATGGGAAACCACCTAATTGGCAGCCAAATTGGAAGAAGAAACAGGAGGGAGGCAAGACGTTTAACACTGTGACTGAGACTACTCCAGAGCCACCATTTACCTCGGTATAGCCTCCATTCACCAAGGAACAAATTGAGCATCTTCTAAAACTCTTTAAGTCTCCACAAATTTCTAATTCTCCTTCTACCTCTTATGCTCACCAAGGTAATCAAGCTCCTTCTGCCCTCACTTCCTCAAATATTTCTGGCCCATGGATCATAGATTCTGGTGCCACAGATCATATGACCAGTTGTTCCCATTTATTTTCCACTTACAGGCCTTGTGCAGGAAATAAAAAAATTCAAGTGGCTGATGGTTCGTTTTCAACCATAGCAGGGACGGGTTCCATCAAAATTTCTCCATGTTTAACACTAAAAGATGTGTTACATGTTCCAAAATTATCATGCAATTTACTGTCAGTCAGTAAATTAACTCTTGACCAAAACTGTCATGCTAATTTCTTTCCATCTTACTGTGAATTTCAGGACATGGTCGCGGGAAAGATGATTGGCAATGCTAAATTAAGTGGTGGACTTTACTACTTTGACGATGGATCACTTCCTAAAGATTATGTTTCAAATACTTGCTTGGGTGTTATTTCTAGTTCTAGTAAGAATGACATTATGCTTTGGCATTAAAGGCTTGGTCATCCAAATTTTTATTATTTAAAACGTTTGTTTCCTAGTTTATTCTCAAATAAAGATCCATCTCTTTTTCAATGCAAAATTTGTGCTTTAGCAAAAATGCATCGATCTCCATATATCCCTCGTCCATATGTTCCTTCCAAACCTTTTTCTCTTATGCATAGTGATATATGGGGACCTTCAAGAATTTCAACTCCTTCGGGAAAACGATGGTTTGTTACCTTTATAGATGATCACACAAGAATGACTTGGGTTTACTTGATGACACAAAAATCTGAGGTGGAACACATTTTTAATTCGTTTTATAACATGATTTACACTCAATTTGAAACAAAAATCAAAGTTTTAAGAAGTGACAATGGTCGTGAATATTTCACAAAACATTTGAGTGTTTTTTTCTCACAAAATGGCATTTTTCAGCAAAGCTCTTGTGTTGACACGCCTCAACAAAATGGCATTGCCGAAAGGAAAAATAAGCATTTGTTAGAAGTGGCTTGGGCATTGTTATTTACACATAAAGCACCAAAATTTTTTTGGGGAGATGCTGTTTTGACAGCAACTTTTTTGATAAATAGAATGCCTTCGAAAGTTTTGAATTTTGCCACTCCTATAAGTGAATTTTCCAAAATTTTTCCCCAAACAAAAATTCAATCAACTCTGCCATTGAAAACGTTTGGCTGCACTGTTTATATCCACAATAAAGATGTAAACTTAGGAAAACTTGATCCTAGAGGAACTAAGTGTGTCTTCTTAGGCTACTCTCCAAGTAAAAAAGGATATAAGTGCTATGATCCAAAAAAAAGGAAATATTTTGTCACCTTTGATGTGCAATTTTTTGAAAAACAATCATTTTTTCAGCCTCATCTTCAGGGGGAGCACACACAGGCGATACGGCTTTAGGGGGAGATGAAAAGATAGTCTTTGACTTTCATGATCAAGGTGAATCTTTTTTTGAAAATTTTTCATCAGAATTTGCCCTTCAAAATTCGGATTTTTTGCAAAACTTAAATAATTCCAAAAATTTTGAAGAGAATCATCAAGAGAATAACTCTGCAGATATTTTAAATAATGAAAATTTGGCTCCTTCCAGTGTTAGTCCAATTAGAACAAGAAATAACACTGAAAACAGGTTTGGGAAAGTTTTCTCAAGAAGAGAACCAAAGTCAAGTGGATTGACCAATAACTTGCAGCATGGTCAAGAATCAACCTCAATACCAAGTCCAGAAGTTTCAGGTTTGAGTCCAATCCCTGAAAATTTCTCAAATGAGCTTGATGTACCTATTGCACTAAGAAAAGGAACTAGAGAATGCACTAGGCGTCCTCTATATCCCATGTCCCATTTTGTTTCTTATAAAAAGCTATCTCCGTGTTTCCTTGCCTTTGTTACTCAACTCTCACATGTGGAAATTCC